CCAAATATTCTAACTCCTAAAGTTATCTGCAAAGGAATGTTGATTTCCATATCAAAAATGTGTCCTACACTGTCAAACTGAATATCACTTTCCTATGAAAACTTCTGTTGTCAATGGAAAGGAAGGAGGTGAAAAGCTGTTAAAGTGTGAACAGAAATCCTCTTCTACTGTATCAGATTACAGTCCTTTTCAATCCTCAGGAAAGTTAAAGGAGAACCCTGTAAGAAGGGGCTTTAAAAAGTTCATCAAAAAAAGTCCACTAGTTTTTCATTTTATTTTCCCATGACCCTTTTGTAGACCCTTCATGTGTATTTTAATTGTTAGACTAGAACCTTGTACATGATGAGTGTTTGTTAAAATGCATGGGCATTCACATATCTGTGGAAAAATGAAAGAGAAGAAGAACTATCATGTACTAATTATTTTTCTTTCCAAGTTTGTCTCTTTATTTCCTTTTGGCTCCTAAAAAGCAGAAATTTGTAATAGGAAATTCTGCAACAAGGACATTTCAAATGCTTTTCAAAACCATAAATTTGGAAAGAAAGTCAAAGTTTAAAGGAGATACAGGGAGAAATAAAACAAAGACAAGCTTTTAAAAGATTGTAAATATCACATGTTGAGCAAAATAAAAGTAATTGAAATGTCTTAAATTGGGGAAAGCTAAATAAGAAAAAAACCAAAATCAAAAAACCTCATAGAATCATATAACTTTATAGCTACTAGAGCCCTCAGAGCTTAACTCCTCATTGTAAAGAGAGGAAACTAGTCTCAGATAATTTACTGGATCCTGGATGGTGCAAATGGTTTGTTTTCAATTATTCATGTAAATGTGGGCGATTTGAGCCCATCAGACGTGCCACCAAAAAAGGCCTGGCAATTTGCTTCTATGAAGATAACTTAGAAAATCCTCCAGAATATGTCATCAATGAAAGTGTGTCCTTCAAAACTATGTGTAAATATCACTGACCATGAGTCTCCGTGGTTTGGCAGTTATGTAATCCTGATTCCACATGCTATAATCTGATATGTCAATCAGCTGTATAAGAAGACTAGATGAATTTGAACTCTAACCTCCTAAACTATGAAAAAAGAAATGTGTGCTTGATTTAGTCATCCACTTGTGTGATTTCTGTTGTAGCAATACTAGACACAGAAGACAGAACAGTTCTCTTCTGTAACATGTGGGATCAAGAGTCAGAATTGACTTTGAGGCAACATTTTTGTTTGGTTTCATTTTAGTTTCTGGATATTACAAACAGTTAATATACTCAAGCAATCTAATAATTGGAGGTGGCAGTCTGCTGAGAGATATTTAACAAGAAAGAACTTCATTGAAAACCCTAAGTATCACCGTTTTACTCTGACACACAGGAGGTGACTCTACTACAATTGTTATTGTTCTTAATGCATTTTTTTAAGTGTTTTAAAGTGACTAGATCTTCATTGCAAATATTGTTTAAACAGAGTAAACCAAGAAGAACCTAAAACTTGTTTACATTCTTATTATTCCATCATGATAATTTTTACTTTCATTCCAATTTACTTTCTGGAAATACACATAATTTGGGCATATTGATTTTACATAAAAATCTAGAATTTTTTGGCATATTTTATTTCTCTAGAATTTGTTCTGATTATTATTTTCTGATGCTTGTGTAACTCACACAGGTAAGTTTCTCATGCAACCTCCTAAAGGGTTCGAAAACTATGTTGCCAAATGACTGGTGAATTTTTATTAAATTTTATTTCTTTTCTCTTTTTAGCAATGACAATGCAGTTTATTAGTCATCAGTTCCCTGATTATCATGATCCTACAATAGGTGAGTAAAAGTTTCTTTTCTCCTTAAGTAAAAATAAAGACACTTAAATTAAGTGGCTTATAAATATTATTATGTCTATGAAGGAAAAATAAGACATTCACTTTATGCCATGGCCCCTGTCATAGATAAGAAAATAGTCAGACTCCAATGTGACTAACACAAGGAAGTTTATTGAGTAATAAACAGGTGGAACAAGGAAACACATGCTGCAAATTGAAGCTGAGTGCTCTTCGGAGTTAGGATCATAGTAAGGCTTATATACAGTGGAATGAGGAATTTACAGCTCAAATTTTGGTTAGTTGACATGCATACCTTTGTGTAATCACTCATAAGGTTATCAGGAGACCCAAGCAATTTCAGTTGAAAGACTATGAATAATAACTCAAAATAATTTGCTTTTCCAGTCTGCAGACATCATGAGGCAGGCATGGATATGCTTTTATAAAATTGCTTTTACAGGGATCCTGGAGCAAACATTCTTTCCAAGAACAAGTTTTTACAAGAACGGGAATGTGCTGTTAAATTTCCTGGTATAGCCCACCGTGTTCCTAATCCTTACCCTGCTTGGCTAAGGACAAGTAAAAACCTGTGGGTAAAAAGTAGAAATAAGGCTAAAGGAAATTTCAGCCTAAAGAAGATGGAGTCTAATGTGGATTCATGCCATCAATTTCGTTATGCCACATACTTCTGATTTCAGGAATCGCTTACACACCCCATACACATATCTGTACCTAGATAACATTGTTGTTGTTGTTAGGTGCTATCGAGTTGGTACTAACTCATAGCAACACTATGAACAACAGAACGAAACACTGCTCAGTCCTGTGCCAACCTCATAATTGTTGCCAGGCCTGAGCCCATTAATCCTGACACTTTGCCAATCCATCTCACTGGGGGTCTTCCTCTTTTTCTCTGAACTTCCACCTTACCAAACATGATATCCTTCTCCAGCAAATGGTTCCTCCTGACAATATGTCTGAAGTATGAGAGATGAAGTTTGGCCATCCTGGCCTCTAAGGAGCACTCTGGCTGCACTTCTTCCAAAACGGATCTATAGGTTCTTTTGACAGCCCATGGTACTTTCAATATTCTCGTCCAACACCATAACTCAAAAGCATCAAACCTTCTACGGTCTTCCTTATTCACTGTCCAACTTTTGTATGCATATGAGGTTATTGAAAATACCATGGGTTGGGCAGGCACACTTTAATCCTCAAGTTGACATCTTTGCACTTCAACACTTTAAAAGGTTTTGTGCAGCAGATTTGCTTAATGAAATACGTCATTGGTTTTCTTGACTGCTGTTTCCATGAGGGTCGACAGTTTATCCAAGAAAATGAAGTCCTTAACAACTTCAATCTTTTCTCCATTGATAAGAATGTTGTTTATTGGTTCAGGGTGAGGATTTTTTTTTTTTTTTTTGGCATTGAGATGCAGTCCATACATAAACAGACATTTCAAGACATAAATATATTTTATCACTTCTCACCAAGCACTCTGATATTTTCTATTCCATTCTATGTATTTCCAATAAATTATGGTTAATATCCAATGACACAGTTAGGATAAGCACGCAACCACAAGGTCAATTTGAACAGCAAGGTTGGTGGTTCAAATTCACCAGCTACTCCTCAGAAACTCTATACAAAGATACTGTGAGTTAGACCTGACTCATTGACACTTAACAGGGACAAACGTCCATTCAACTGATCTCAGGCTCTACTAATGGGCCTCTACTTAAATTTGAAAAACTGTGCTCTAGATCATATAAAGGATGTTGTTTATGCTGATTTGGTCATTGTCTAGCTTTTATCAGTCTCTGAATATTGTAGAATCAGTTAACCATGTTGACATAATGCTGCATTTGGGTAGGACATTAAATGTATGAGTCATTGTAATCTCCTATATCCTCCTAATTTTGTACATGATACAAAGAGATTTGGTGTCAAAAACCTGTCAGAGTGAAAGATAACATATATTTCCTTCTTCCCATTCAGTTTTCTTTTGACCATATTACATTACAGATGCGCTGCACTGAGAGTGCTTCTGTTTTGTCATTGTAGCTATTGTTTGTTCTGTTTCCCCTCTATCAAAGCAGAGAAGATAGTTTTTTAATTGCCTTAGTCTACCTAAGAGTTGCTTTCAAGACGTGGTTAAGCGTTCCCAAACAGAATTCTATTTCTATAAACACATTGACATTGAAAACACATTATTTTGTGGGAGAGGAAAGCAGGAGGGTTCATTGTTTGTCTAGATTGTGATCTCCACACAATACCCTGTTTATTGTTTTACCCTGACTTCCCCTGCTTATTCCCTCAATCTAAATATCTCCTTTGCTCACCTCCACTGGCTAACTTCCTCTGGTTTATAGTTTGCTCATTTAACAATTTTACTTAAAGTACTACTTTACATAACAATTGTATCCTGCACATAATTCTTGATTTTTTTTTTTTTTCTGGCAAATCTGCCATTACATTTACTTGAAAATGATTGTTGAAATGATTAAAATGCAGTTCTTTTTTAAAGGGAGTCCTAGTGTGGTGCTGTAGAATAATGCAATGGACTGCAAGGTCAATTTTAACTGCAAGGTTAGCGGTTCAAACCCACCAACTGCTCCTCAGAAGACCTGCATAGGGTTGCTATGATTCAGAACAGACTCAACTGCACTTTACAAGAATAATAATGTAGACAGAGCTCCTCATCAGTTGAACTGAATTAATAAGATTTAAGTGTAGGTGATTGGGGTGTTATTTGTCAGAAAGGGCTTCCTTGAATTAGATTTTGTTTCTGAAGAGAAAATAATCACTTAAATTTTTTTTTAGTAGTTCTTAATTAAAATTCTAGTTTAGTAATATTTAATGTTTTCTCTCTGAGCCCTTGTATGGCATTATAAAACACTCACTATACTGCTAACTGCAAGACTGACAGTTCAAACCCACCACCTACTCTTGGAAATCCTACCCAGGGTCGCTATGAGTTGGAACTGACTTGATGGAACTTAAAAAACAACCAAGTCTGCTTGCTAATTATCCTGATGCTAGAAAGTCAGTTGCTTTGCATCATGAGCTATGAGTGAAAAAAGATCTCTGGGCAAAAGCTTTGAATCTTTTATCTTGTTGGAAAATTCAACGGTGTGTCATAATGAAATCACAAATACAGTCTGTTGTTCATGATCTTTTGTCATTGTTTAAGTTTTATATATGTTGGTGTTTCAAAAACCTGCATCTTGTTTACCAGCCTTTCATGTTTAATGGCTTGAATAGGGCAGTAGATATGAATAAATCACAAATGGCTTCTATAGGAGGAAGCCATGAGAAGTATTCAGTGATGACTCCTTTAGCTATCCACAAGGAACATCTATCATTTGAGATTAATCTACTTGGAAATTCAATGCTAACAGACAGCTTAAATCATACCTTTATCTGTCTGTAAATAAAATAACTTTAAATGAAGACGTCTGAAAATAGAGACAAAACGCATTTTATTATTTTCAATTTGATTTCCCCATCATTTCTTTCCTTGGCTTTGCTAATGGGAATATTAATTAACAATTTCCATTGGTATCCTGCTTGAGGAAGATGAAAGTCCCAAATAATTTACTTTTTGTCTGTTCAGGCTACATAACTATAATTCAGTCTGACTGACTTAATGGCCTCTCTAGAAGAGATTCATATCAGAACATTTTGAAAAACATACAAATTAGAGGAGAATACCTCCTATCAAGGTTACTTATTTCATGATTTTGATAGGAAATGAATGTTTTTTCCATCTCCATTCAAGTCTGTTTGTCACCCTGACTGAGATATTTTAATAGTTTTTCTCTGAAGTCATTGAAGGATTTGTATGGTTTTGTTTTTTCCTTTATATTCAGCTTAGAATTATTCTTTTTTCAAGTCTATATAAATTCAGAAAACCTAGGTTTTCTTTATCATTGATTAGAATTAGGGGTATTATCTTGTATTAATGTTCTTCTCAGAGAAGTAATTGTTCTCATTTTTTCAGTTACATTTTCAAAGTCATTACTAATGGGTTAAGCATCTGCCAACCTATAGAGAGGCCTATGAAGTGATATTGAAATGTGTTTGTTCTATTCCTCCATATAAGATCTCACCCCACAATTAAATTAGGTTCTTTATAAAGGTCCCAAATGGGAATAAGTTCAAGTTTCAATTTAAGTTTTAAATAGAATTCTTCTAAGCATTAGGCTCTGTGATAAGTGCAGTTTGATTTTTTCCATAGTAAAATAATTATGGAAATAAGAAATAACATCTTGACTGAAAGCCTAATATCCAACCCTCATAACAATAATAATAATACCATAATTAATTAACAACAAATCATTTGATATTGCCATTGCATGAAATTCAATCTATAAATATATATCCTGGTGTCATGCTGTAGGATAAGCACTTAACTGCTAACTACAAGGACCATTCTCCTTGGAAACCCTACACAGAGTCACTATGAGTCAGAATCAACTCCACAGCACTTAACAACAACAACCATGGTAGACATGACATAAAAGGAAATCTAGAGATTCAAGGGAGAAGAGATATAATAGGGAATACAAATCAAATAAAGTCACTTTCTGAGTCTATGAACTAGAACAACACAGGTGCTGAAGAAAGGCAGCATAAGTATATCTCACTAGACCTTAATGGACTTGGGATACTTCTTGAGCAAATACTCCATGCACTGGGTTGTTTGTTTGTTTGTTTTATGTCATGCTGTTTTACTTAACTTCAAAAACATTCCAGCATTCTAAGCATACAAAAGAAATAACAGAATATGGCAAAGTGTTTAATTACAGAAGGTCCTTGAACTTCCATTGATGCAGTGGCTTTTCACTTCACTGACAATGAAGAGTTCAACATTTGTTCAAAAACATTTGAAAAACTCCTAGTCTTAAAACACACACACACACACATACATACACACACACAAACAAACAAAAAAATACTTCTCATGCCAGCTGA